TTTCTAAGTAAATTTTCTCTTATAGTTTGAGTCTTGGCTCTGAATTCTTTCCTGGCCAGAACTCCAGTACCGATGCTGCGGACCCAGCTCCAGTCCGGCCCCACGGGTCTAAAGCCGCGAGCGGCTCCCGACACTGCCAACACACGTGTTATGCAAAGTGCTGAGGTCCCAGACACATCAGCATACTGTTCTTGGATTCTCAGAGAAGTAATCCAGAGGACTGACTGGCTGTGCAGGACATGGGTTGTTGGGAATGACATGCGCACTGGTGACAGCCAACCGGTGACGTGACCACCACACAGGCTCCACCAGTGAAGTAGAACCTCCAGTCCCGCCGGCTGCAGACTGGCCACCCGGGGTGGATGGCCAGTGCTTTTGTTTCACTGCCCCTCAGCCTTTCCCAGCACAAGGCTTTAGAGGCACCGAAAACAGAGAAAAACAGCAGGCAGAGGGAATGTGTTTTCAGACAAGCTGTGTGAGCTCAAAACTGCTAGCTGTTTTCTTGACTGAGGAGCTGGCCGGGCTCCCAAGGTCTCACTGTCCACTTACTGATGGCCTTCACCATGTTGCCACAGGATGGGAGGGGAGCTGGAGCTTGGGACCAGGCCATGTTCCCATTTACCACTCAACATGGAAACAGCTTAGAACAGTGGCACATGGATGTTTTCAATCAGTTGTTTTTGTTATTTGTGTTCTGTTTTGTTTAGAGATGCTGAGATTTCTCCAAATTGGCTTTGATTGTCTGGCTCCTGCTCTCTCTCTGTTCCCCCAACCCTCTGCCCCACCCTGAGCTCGCACTCAGCCTTTGACAGCTGGACTACTGATGGTGATCCAACCACCCCACGACCCCCAAACACTGCCCAGGACAGCGTCCAGTGGGCAGCCCTGCCCCTGAGGCTGGCCGTGTTTGGGGACAAGGCACAGCGGGCTTCTCGGGTGCGGAACGAGACAATCCCTACTTCAGAGGAGGTCAGGCACGCACAGCTCTCCTCCCACCTGACACACCCCTCCCACTGCAACTTTCACCCTCACAGCTCCATAATATCCAACTGCTCGTGCCCCAAATCCAGCTGATCTGCAGGGAGAAAGAAAAAGAAACTCCCAGGCTCTGGAGACCAGTCTGTCTTTCTAGCCGCTGGTGCTCAGCTCAGAGACAAAATGCCTACATCCCAGTCGTGTTCCTAGCCCTTGAATGGTATTGCTCAACAGAATTTTTTGTGATGATAGAAATGGTCTATATTTCTGCCGTCCAATGTATTGACCACTAGTCACATGTGCTACTGAGCATTGAAACACATTTAGTCAGACTTCTGGTCAGGATGGTGGGTAGGTAAGCGGTATTGTGTCCTCCCACAACCACATTAAAATTACAACTAAACTACAGAACAACCATTATTCAGAACCATCTGACATTGAGCTGAATGGAAGTCCTACAACTACAGAATGAAAGAAGCCACATGGAGACTGGTAGGAGGGGTAGAGGCAGACAGGCTGGTCCCACACCCACGTGTGGTGGATAAAATCAGGAGGACACCTCAGCTGGGAAGGTCCTCCCTGAGGACTGAGGGGTCCCCGTCTCATACCAGGTGCCCACTTCAGGGTTCCAGTGCCAGGAAGAGAATCCCCATCACTTCTGGCTGGAAAACCAGTGGGAACTAAAGTTCAGGGAGGCTGAGTCTGAGGGAGCCCCAGGCAGCTCCTCTTAAAGGGCCCGCACATGGACTTACTCTGACTCACTCCCTCCGGGCTCCAGTGTAGGGGAGACAGCATGAAAGGCGCCAGAGACATTTCAGGAAGAACTGAGTTGCTTGGCATCGGGACGAGGGCTGGAGAGGCAGCTTTGTCCCAGACAGACGTGCTAGTGGAGGCCATTGCTCCTTTGGTGAGCCCTCCCTCCACAGGGCAGGCAGATGGCAGCCACATCTGGGACTCCAGCAACCTGGCTCACACTGTTTGCCCCACCCTGGTGATTCCCTGAGGCCCTGCCCCACCCAACTTTCGAGCCCACGTAACCTGTTTCCAGTGGTTTTACCACAGGATTGGCCTGTCTTGGTTCCTGCTTCAGATTTTTCTAAAATCTCTCAAACAAGCAGCATCTGGTCTCAGCGAACCCCACACCTCTCAAGTGGCCCCAGGCCTGGCACTAGAAGCAGCCAGCCTTGGTTCACAACTTGGCTTTTCCTGGGCACCTCTAAGCCCAGTACAAGAAGCAGCAATTGGCAGATCACTTTGTAGCTTATGCCTGGTGGCCCGGGGTAGAACACAGGCAGTGGCTGACCTTGCCCCAAAGCCAGTACACCCAGTGGACAGCTTCAGACCACATCCAAGCACCAGCACCCAACCACCTCCACAGTGACACACTCAAGGAGTGGACTCAGTGGGTACCAGAGCCCTGCTGAAGTAAGTCTTGCTCTGTGTAGTGGGCCCTGCACAGCTGATCCTCCAAGGTAGTCAGAGGCCAGTGGTCAGTGGGCACAGCCCTCCCATTGATGTGCCAACAGTAATCAAGAATCAATCACAACAGAAGGGTGTACAGTCACACTAGGGGTGCACTTCGAGCTGGGTGATTGGGAAGCTGTGCCACTGGACCCTACAGCACACCTACTACAACAGGCCACCTTAGGAAGCCTAGGAGACATAGCAACTCTACCTAATACATAGAAACAAGCACAGGGAAGCAGCTAAAATGAGGAGACAAAGAAACATGTCCCAAATGAATGAAAAGAACAAAACTCCAGGAAAAGAACTAAACAAAATGGAGATAAGCAATCTAATAGATGCAGAGTTGAAAACACTGGTTATAAGGATGCCCAAGGAGCTTAGTGAGACCTTCAAGGAACTTAAGGAGATCTCCAACAAACTCAGTGAGAACATCAACAACATAAAAAAGAACCAGTCAGAAATGAAGGAGGTACTAACTGAAATAAAGAATAATTTACAGGGAATCAATAGTAGAGTAGGTAAAGCCAAGAAGCAAACCATCAATTTGGAATATAAGGAAGCAAAAAACATGCAATCAGAACTGCAAAAAAAAAAAAAAAGAATCCAAAAAAATGAGGATAGTGTAAGGAGCCTCTAGGACAACTTCAAGCATGCCAGCATTTGCATCATGGGGGTGCCAGAAGGAGAAGAGAGAGAGCAAGAAATTGAAAACCTATTTGAAACAATAATGACAGAAAACTTCCCTAACTTGGTGAAGGAAACAGACATACAAGTCCAGGAAGCACAGAGAGTCCCAAACAAGATGAACCCAAAGATGCCCACACTAAGACATAACATCATCAAAATGCCAAAGGTTAAAGACAAAGAGAGAATCCTTTTTTATTTTTTTAATCCTCACTCGAGGACATTTTGCATTTTCCTCAGATAGAGCAGGAGGGAGACATGAGGGAAGAGAGAGAGAGAAACTTCAATGTGAGAGAGACACATCGACTGGTTGCCACCCACACGACCCCAACGAGGGCTTAGACAAGCTGCAACCGAGGTACATGCCCTTAGCGGGAACCGAACCCGGGTCTCTGGTCCACGGGCCAAAGCTCTAACCGCTGAGCCAAACCAGCCAGGGTTTAATTTTAATTTAAATGGCTACTGTGGCTAGAGGTTACTGTGTTAGACATGGTTTAATGAGACATCCTTGCTTTAAGATTGGGAAGTATATTTTTCAAACTTGGTGCTGGTCTCATGCTTCAGTGGTCAGCTGGTCTCAGGAGGCAAGGGGAAAATGTCCATCCCAGATCTCACTTTCCCTAGGACACTGAGCAGACCAGAGAGCAGGGCCCAGGCTGCAGGGTGTGTCTGGCTGCCAGCGGTGTCCTCCTGGCCGTGCTGGCTGAGGGCGGCCGGCCTTGCCAGTACTCCCAGCTCGCCCCTCCAGGCATAGGTGGCCTCAGCTTCCAGGGTGCAACCTGTGGGGCGTCACCACGAGACGAGCTGCAGTGGTGTGTGGATTGTTTTGACTTAAAGGCAAACAAGACCATGGGGCATAAGAGAAACTCTGTCCTTTTATTAACTACCCAGAAGACTTTGAATTGGGGGTCATGTCCATAATAATAGAGTATCAAAGATAACCTTTTCAGCTGTGTACAGGGCAGGGCAAACTTTTAATTCCTGTACATCTGCTGTTCTTATCATTCTGCCAGAACCTTTTAAAGCCCCCAGCGCCTCACCTGCCCCTATCTCAGAGTGCCATACATAGCTCCCCTGAACTTTCCGCCCTGGACGCTCTCAGGGGCCTGGTCTCTGGCTCTCTCGTGTGCGCAGGTTCCCATAGACATGTCTGCCACGAAACGTGGTCATTTCTCTTGCCGATCGACCTCATGTCTATTTGATTATTAGACCAGCTGAAAGAACTGTGAGGGTAGCGGGAGTTTCTTCCTCCCCACAACCCCCTGACCCCTAAATGTATTCTTTGACAGCAAGAAGCTACCCAAGCCCGGTGAGCCGTCACGCCTCTGAACATAAGAGGGGAGTTTGGCTCTGCAGTCGGAGAGGGAAGTGACCCGCGAGGAAGGATGGCTTGGCAGTCACAGCTACGCGGCAAGAGAAAGAGGAAACCAAGGCTAAAGGTTCTTTCTTTTTTAAAAGCCATGCTCCCTCTCCGTTGGCTGACACTAGGAGGACGAGGGTAGAAGGAGCCCTATAGATCACGTGGACAAGCCTCTTCCTGAGGTCCAGTGAGGGAGAGCCGATCCCAACGGGTCAGACCCGAGGAGCCCTTCAAAGCCGGCCTGGCAGGAGGGAGCGGGGTTGGGAGGCCTGGTACCAGGCAGCCTCTTCTCTGCAGCTCTGAGGGGGTGGTGGGGCAAACCCGTCATCGCCGAGGTCTGTGGCCCTTTTGTGTGACTGCCTGGCAGGGATGGCCTGGGGGCCGGCCTCTGAGCACAGCTGCAGCAGGAGGAGGGAGGCGGGCACTGCCCTCCTGCCTGTTGCCAGGCTTGCTCAGCAGTGGGACCTGCACCCCGCGGGCCTCCTCTCAGCCTGGCCCTGCCCTGAGAGTGGAGATGGCGAGTTTGTCAGGCTCCTGTCTGCCCAGCTGCCTCCCCTGCCTTCTCCTGCTCCTCCAGTTGTCTCTTAGCAATGCAGGTAAGATCGATCTTTATCCCTACCCGGAGACCCCGAGAACAGAAAGGCTACTTTTCCTAGGCTAACCTCCTTTAATTCACCCTCAAATTACTATGGAAATTATCTTTCTGAAACATAGATGTGCTGACATTGTTCCTGCCTCAGAAAACTCCCATCGTTTCCTACATTTCCAGAGTAGAACCCTGACTCCTTTTTTTTAATATGTCTGCACTCCCCCCACCGGGGATCCAGCCTGCAACCTGGGCTTGTGCTCTGACCAGGAGTCGACCTCCTCACCCTGTGACCTCCTGGTGCACAGGATGCCGCTCAACACACTGAGCCCCGCCGGTGGGGTGCAAGCCTTCCCGTGACCTTAGCTCCGGGCTCCCCTTGGGCTCACCTCTCTCTTTAGCTCTGGTCTCTCACCTGCCAGTGGGGGTATAACAAGGCGACCTTGGAGCTGCTGCCGGGGCTCAGTGAGACGAGGCGCAGACCGGAGTGGCGCCTACTCCATAAGAAACTGCACGTTTGCTGGACTGTGAGCCTTGTCACATTTGAGGGCTCTGTCCTGCATGACCAGGCGCCATAAGTTTCTGTAGAGGTGCCCTGTGCTCATGTGCTGGGGAGAAAGAAGAGAAGCAGAAGACAGACTCCCAACTTCAGGGAGCCCCCCAGAGAAGAGGCCCGGTCATTGCTGCCCCCGGGAAACCTTTGCAGGGGAACGAGGAAACCAGCCTCGGAAGGTCCAAGTCCAACCGAGGAGACACAGTCCACGTGGGAAAGACCAGGAGCTGACAGGGCGGGTCCAGGAGCCGCGGGGGTGGGAGGAAGGAAGCGGCCGCCTCGGGGCAAGGTCTCGGTGGAGGAGAGTCTGGGCACAGGGCTGAGAAGTGGCAGAGCGTCAGCAGGAGTGACAGAAGCCCCAGCAGAGAGAGGGACGGCCTGGCCACGTCTCAGCAGGGAGGCCCCCCCGAAGAGCTGAGCCAGGCCGGGGGCGGGGGGGGGGGGGACCCGAAGGCTGGGCAAAACCGAGATGGATACAGTTGACAGAGAGGTGAGCAGCAACTGTCAAGAACATGCTAGAATGTTCTGTCCAGGGCACTCACGATATCTCTACAACCGCAGATCTTTTATTTATATAAATATTCAAAAAGAAAACCTGAGCTCTTCCCTGGTTCTAGAATGCCATTTAAAATGAATGGAGCACCGCCCTAGCCATTTGACTCGGTTCGAGCACCCCTCCTGTGAACCAGTCCTGGGTTCCTTCCAGGCCAAGGGGCCAAGGGGTCACGGGCATGTACCTTGGTTGCAGGTTTGATGGGGTTGTGGGGAAGGCAACCAATCTGTGTGTCTCTCTGTCACCCTCCGTCCCTCCCACTCTATCTAAAAAAAAAAAATTAAGGGAAAAATAACCTTGGGTGAGAATTAAAAAAAAAGAATTGAGTGCCGTCTGCCTTTCCTTCCCTGACAGACTCTTCAAGGGTCCCCTGACACTGTTACTCTGCTTTGGTGTCTTGGACAGGACAGTTCAGAGTAATAGGACCAGGGCATCCCATCTGGGCGCTGGTGGGACACGAAGTGGAACTGCCGTGCCGCTTATCTCCAGGAAGGAATGCCACGGGCATGGAGGTGGGGTGGTACCGGCCCCCCTTCTCTCGGGTGGTCCATCTCTACCGAAACGGCAAGGATCAGGACGGAGAGCAGGCGCCTGAGTACCGGGGCCGGACGGAGCTGCTGAAAGACACCATTGGTGAGGGGAAGGCGACCCTCCGGATCAGGAACGTGAGGTTCTCAGATGAAGGCGGTTTCACCTGCTTCTTCCGAGATCATTCTTACCAAGAGGAGGCAGCAATGGAGCTGAAGGTGGAAGGTGAGTGGTGCCCCACAGTGCTGACGTCACCTGCTGGGTGGCCAGGACCTCGCTCTGAGACGTCAGTCATTCTCTTACTTGAGATGAGCTCCTTCAACCCAGATATCTCTCCCCTGGGAACCAATTCCCTAGAAGTATGTACCTCAGTACAGAAGCATTTACATACTTGCGATGTCTGCTGTCTCATTGTTCAAAATGGAAGAGCACCCAGAATCTAACCAATGCCCACAAGCAGGGAGGAGACTGAATACATGTTGTTATCCACACCGGGAATATTATGTAGCCACTAAAAAGACTGTTTTAGGGCTGTAGCAGATGGCTTGGAGGCATTCCACAAGATATAGTTGAGTACTAAAAGCAAGCTACACAATGTAGGAAACAAAAACTAAACTGTTTGTTTGTGAATATATATATATATATATATATATATATATATATATATATCTCAGAGAAAAATATGAAAAGAGATCCATAAGAAAGTTAATATGGTTCACTCTGGGGGAAGAGAGGAGAGGAGAATGGGGTGTGATCCAATCAAAGAACATAAAAGAAAATATCATAATTATTCATATGATTGTTCATATAAAAGTATATGCAATATGTACATTTGTGGGTACTTATAAAGAAAAATTAAATAAAAAAATTTTAAAGAGACCCAAATAGAAAAAAAAAAAAAAAAAAAAAGACAAATGGAGGCAGCAAAATCCAAAATAATCAATTTCTGATTAGTTTATGCCAGTTTAGTGGGGAATATGAATGACCTAAAAGTTGTTTGTTTTTTTTAATTCTACCTGAGGACATTTTTGCATTTATCTTCAGATAGAGTGGGAGGAAGAGAAGAAGGAAGAGAGAGAGAGAGAGAGAGAGAGAGAGAGAGAGAGAGAGAGAGAGAAACATCAATGTGAGAGAGACATCAAGTGGTTGCCATCTACACGACCCCAACCAGGGCCAGGGACAAACTGCAACCAAGGTACATGCCCTTAGCAGGAACTGAACCGGGGACTCTCTGGTCCGTGGGCCGACGCTCTAACCGCTGAGTGAAACCGGCCAGGGAGACCTGAAAGTTATTCAAAGTATGCAAATGGACTTTTTCCTTCTTGTTGCTTTGGAACAGCTCCTTGTTTATTTGTTATGAACAAGGGGATTATCCCTAAAGAGTCAAATTGACCAAATCCTATTACATTGAATTCCAAAGTTGATGTATTTGTGGTGTTTTATTAGATAAGAAATACTGTTGGAAAACACATTCCTGGTAAACACAGTTGAAGTGAGTATACAGATAAACAAATGTCTGGTGTATTCACAGAGACCACCTACAGATCATACTCACGCTCTTCTCCAGAATTCCGGCTTCAAAGTGTTTGTGATGGGTGACTTTCAATTTATGTATTTTTGTTGTTTTATGGCAGAATGGTTAAGATGTGGACAAGATAAGCCCTGGCCGGTTTGGCTCAGCGGTTAGAGTGTCGGCCTGCGGTCCGGAGAGACCCGGGTTTGGTTCCTGCTAAGGGCATGTACCTCAATTACAGTTTGTCCTCGGCTCTGTTTGGTCATGCGGGTGGCAGCCACTGGATGTGTTCTTTTCACATTGATGTCTCTCTCTCTCTCTCTTCTTCTCTCTCCCTCCCACTCTATCTGAACAAAAATGGAAAAATGTCCTCAGGTGAGGATAAAAAAAAAAAGATGTGGACAAGATGAAATGGATGCTTTGAAATTAATTGCTATTTTTTTTCAAATTATTGCTTTTTAGAGAGAGAGAGAGAAAGGTAGAGAGAGAAACATTCATTGATTCTTGTGTGCTCTGACTGAGGATCAAACCCACAGCCTTAGGGTATCTGGACAATATTCTAATGCACTGAGCAACCAGGCCAGGGTGAAAGTTAACTGGTATTTAATTGAAGGATAAAAATGTTCTGAGGGCCGGAGCCTCAGGCCCCTTCCTTCTCTCCTTCCCCCTCCCACCTGCTGCGAAGCATTAGCCCATCCTTCAGACAATAGGCCACTTCTGTACCTCGAGGCAACTGCTGCAGGCGGGGCCAGGCCACGGCTCTGTGCGCCGAGTGAGGAAGCGCTGTCTCCAGAGAAGGCTGCAGGGCTACGAAGATAGCTTTGTGTGTCACAGAAGGCTCTTCACACAGCAGTGGTTTCTTTGGGGGAGGGATTACATGCAAAGAAGTGTGATAATGAGTTTGCAGATACTTCTCCTTCCTAGTTCAAAAACTGCCCCTAGGACATCCTCTCCCCTTGCACCCACCCCTCTAGTAACCTAGAAACTAAAACTTTGCCTCAGGGAAGAAAGCCTTCCTTTGGATTGATTTTCACCCTCTTCTCTCATCTCACAGTCTGCACCCTGAGAGCCTATAAAATGAGTGTTTTACAGTGAAACAAGGGGACCTTCTAGCCTGGGGAGCCAGGAAGCTGAGGCAAATTCAGGACTGAAATGCAGTAACTGCATTATCACAAGTTTCAGATGTCATTACCTCCCCTCCTTCTCCAAAGACTTTTGTTGTCTCTCGGACTTTTATTTCTTTCTTTTCATTTTATTAATAGTTGTCTCTAATCTTTTCTTTAAACTCTTCATTATGAAACTTTAAAATACATACAGAGGTAGAGAGAATAACAGTAATGAGCTTCCAAGTGCCCATCACTGACTGCAACAGTTGACCAAAAGACAAGCTGTTTCACCTGACCCCACTCAACACCACCCTCCCCAACTGAATTTCTGAGGCAAATCCTAGGCTGTATTATCATTTTATTGCTGAATCCTTAAGGGTGTATCATTCAAATACAAAAACACCTTAGGGGGTGGGAATAGGTAGGAGAGGGGAAAGGGAGACTAAATTGTGCCAGAAGCCCTAGCTGGGTAGCTCAGCTGGTCAGAGCATCGTCCAGATGTGCTACGAGGGTTCCATGCCTGGTCAGGGCACATCCAATGAATGACTAGTGAATGTGTAAATAAGCGGAACAACAAACTGATGTTTCTTTCTCTCTCTCAAATCAATCAATATGTATATTTTTTTATGGTGATGGAAGGAGACTTGACTTTGGGTGGTGAATGCATGGTGCAATATACCGATTATAGAGTTATACACTTGAAACCAGTATAATTTTATTAACCAAGGTCACTCTAATACATTCAATAAAAAGCATAAAATGAGAAAACTAATGCTTTAAACTTTTTCACCACAACATTGTTATATATTTTTTAATTAACAAATATTCCTTAATGTCATCAATATCCACTCTGTGTTCAAATTTTCCTGATTGTTTCATAAATATATTTTTACAATTGATTTGTATGAATTGAATCCAAACAAGATCCACATGTTGGTGTTTGCCCTATAGTATTTCCCATGGTCCAGATTTTGCTGATTTCATTCCCGTGTCGTTTAACAGGGTGCTCCATACCTGTACTTCCTGTTAGCCGACCAATGATACTCAAAATCATTCAGGTTTGATTTATTGTGTCAAGTACATTTTGTGGCTGATGCTACATACTTACTGCTTTATATCAGAAGGTTCATAATATCTTCTGTTCTCTCTTTTTTGTGATTCTAATTCTTGGGGAAGGTACAAAAGGTGATCAAAGAAAGAGCTAAAGTGCATGCTTAATAATGATATTGCTACAGGTGACGAGAAAGAACTTCAAAGTAGACTTTGCTGCATTTTCTTCTACGATTGTATTTATACCTAAGAAACTCTCCTAACCCATTTATTAATTTTTTTAGAATAACTTTTTTATTATTGATTTTATAGAGAGAGTGGAAGGGGGAGAGAGAGAGAAAAAAACATTGATTTGTTGTTCCACTTATTGGTGCATTCATTGGTTGCTTCTTGTATGTGCCCTGACTGGAAATTGAACCCAAAACCTTGGCATATGGGGTCGGAGCTCTAACTAACTGAGTTATTGGGCCAGGACTCTCCTGACCAGTTTAATGTTGCTGTGACTTAATTCCTAACTTTGATGGCAGCTCCCGAAAGCAGAGAACAAGAGGAGACCGCAGCCTGGCACACTGAGACCTCGCAGAGCGGGAGCAGCGCCCGCAGACCCGACTGAGACAGAATGGGAACCTAGAGAGCTGAGGCCCCTCCCCCAGGGCCTGCCCCACTCCACAGACACTCAGTTGCCAAATTCTGTGGCTGCTCCTTTCTCACTCTAGAAACGGGATTCCTGACCCTGTGTGTGCATTGCACCCCTTGGACAGACTGATGGTGATGGACCCCTTCTCAGAAGGGTGTTTTAAATGCACAAAATAAAACACATTTTCACTGAAATAGTTACCAAAATATTAAAATAACAGGATATGGGAGGGCCCTGATAATTAGTGTAATTTCAAAATAATGATGGACATAAGTGATATTTTGAGATTTCTGCAACAACTCCATGTCATATGAAAATATTTGTGTTTTTTATTGATGACAAAGTCACAGGTTCTGCTCAAGTATTGTAGTGTGTTGCTTACAAACATAATAGAAAGAAACACTACATTTCAGTTTAAGTGTTACTGAAAATAAATAGAATTTTTTTCCTGTTCAAGTTCACAGACCCCTGACTTCCTCCACCTCCAACACAGCCGTGGTCCGGCTCCTGTTGTTTTCAGTGACTGTTGCCATGACCTCTTTACTGCCCTCCGCGGAGTCTCCTCTACTGCGGTCATGACCCAGGTCTTGCCCCTGCTCAGCTGGGAGTCTCGGTGCACCGGGCTGGGGGGATCTTCCCAAATCCCAGGAGCCGGTCTTCTTTGTTGCCTGCTTTTTAAAAAAATACTTGTGTGTGGTGCGTGCCCCTAGAGGGAACCAAACCCGGGACTCTCTGGTCCGCAGGCTGACGCTCAACCGCTGAGCCAAACTGTCCAGGGCTAAAGGCACAAACTACCTGGAAAAAAACTACATTCTCTTGGCACCACTTTTGGCACCGTTAAGGGGGCTGATACAGAGAAGGCGAGAGGAGCTTGTTAGGTCAGGGCAGCTATTAATCTCTCTTCCTCATGGTTCCTGCGTCTCCCAAGGCCATCCTTAACCCCTTATCTTTATCGTCTTCTTGGGTTTCTCAAGGCCTCGTGTTTACAGCAAGGGCCTGCTAGGGTGCGCGTGCAGGAACCGAGGGTCGGCGTGGTTACTGCGCCTCCAGGACGGGCCTCGGTGACCTCCCTCCCTCCCCGGCTGGGGCGGCCCGGGCGCGCGGTGCAGCCGGCCTGCCTTCTGCCTTGCAGATCCCTTCTACTGGGTCGGGCCCGGAGCGCTGGTCGCCATCGCCGTGCTGCCCGTGCTCCTCCTGCAGCTGGCCGCCGGCCTGCTCTTCCTCCGCCTGCAGCGCCGACTGAGAGGTACCGCCGGGCGGGCCGCGGGGCCGCGGGGCCGGACGGGCGCACGTCACTCCGCCTGCAGCTTCTGGCGGCAGGGCTCAGGCCCCGGTGCCACCTTCTGGCCCCTGCCCCACGGAGCACTTGCGCGCCCCGGGGAGGAGCTTCAGAGTCCAGGCCACTAGGAGGGGGAATGAAACACCGAGCACGAGTCCCTGCACACAGAGGAGCTCAAAACCCAGCTCCCCCTGCGTCCCCCGGGCTCCGCGCCCGCCGCCCCCACCAAGCGTCCCAGAGCCCCGGCCGGCGCTCCGGCGCCTCTTTCCCCGCCCACTCCCTAGAAGACGAAGCCGCACGGAGGACGGAGCGAGTGGGATGTTAGTGGCATTAAAAATGGGGGCTTTTTTTCTCCCTTTGAACTCATCCCACATCAAAGAGGCCTTCAGTCCACGTGCTGAGCAGAAAGAACCTGGTCAGTCAGGCAGGGGGCTTGCGTGCCCCCGGGCTCCCAGCCCCCGCTGCCCTGTCAAGCAGAGCCAACACCCTCCCTCCTAAGTCCGCAAGAAAGGATTAACGGGACAGTGTTATGTAAAGTGCCTGGCACAAAGTAGCTGCTCAACCAATTGCTCAGTTCCTCCCCCTTCCTGTTCGGATGGGAAGTGGTTTTGCATTTACAAAGTGGCAGCCCAGCAGGGTGGAGGGGCAATGAGAACTAAAAGACAAGAAAATGGGCAAGAGTAGCGGGACGGTAATAAAACTTGTTGGTTTGGGGCTTTGCTGTCCACCCGAGGCCCCTCGCATTCTTTATCCCAATATTTAACCCAGACAATAGCAGGCCAGGAGCCCAAGCGCAGGCTCCCGCCCCGTCTCTCCCAGTCTAAAGGGCGCCCCCCTGACAGCCGCACAAAGGCCTGGGCGACGGTGTGGCAGGGCCTGCGGGTACCAGAGCTGAAACTAAAAATGTTGCCTTTTTCTATTTTAGGAAAACTTCGAGCAGAGATAGGTGAGTCCGGACCCCTTCTCTCCTCCATCCCTCCCTTCTGGTTTTTGGCATAACCAAAATGGTCATTTTCTCAGACCATTTTTGCCTCTGTCCCAACACCCCGAGTTCCCTTCAGGTAGAAAACTCCCCAAACAGCCGAGAATGGTAGGGAATTTCATTCCTCTTCTCAGCTGTGAGCCAGGATGGACGCCAAGTCCTGCAGTGTCCCTCTGTCCATCTGACTGTTCTGTGTCACCGTCCGCTAGAAATGACTTTAAGTGGTTAAAACACAAAGGCTCAGAGGAGAAAGTATCACCAACGAGCGCCGTCTAAGCCCCTCTCCATTCGTTCTTTTCAGAGAACCTTCACAGGACTTTTGGTAAGTGCTGGGGTACCAGGCCCTCGCATCAGCTGTTCCACTGGGTTCCAGTCACCTGGGGAAACAAGAACCCCTGGCTCCTGGCTGGTCTCCCTCTTTGTCTTTCTTTGAATAAGTCACCTGCATCTAGGAGGGTAAGACGACAGCAAACGCACACACGTCCAGCCACCGGCGCACTGCCAGGTCACCGTGAACTCGGCTGCAGGGGCTCACCGCGCGCAGTTTCTCTTCTCAGGAAATACCAGGGGAGGGAAACAGAACCTTTGCACAAACACTTGCTGCCTAGTTGGGGACACAAGTTAATGGGAGAACAAAGCACACGTACATCACAACTGAACTCATGAGCACAGGAGTCACTACACGACTAACCAGGGGAGCTTCCTGGAGGAAGAGGGGACACCAAGCTCCACTAGAATGTTGTTCAGGTCTAATCACTTGTCCTTTCAAAATACTGATAAACATAAGCCAATGCTTCGAGATTTCTGCAACATGTCAAGAAACCCCATACACATGCAGAGGTGGGCGGGGCACGGGGTAGAGCACTGCTCATCGTGTCTGTTCTCCGTGGACAATTCAGATCCCCACTTTCTGAGGGTGCCCTGCTGGAAGATAACCCTGTTTGCGATCGTGCCAGTCCTCGGACCCCTGGTTGCCTTGATCATCTGCTACAACTGGCTACATCGGAGACTAGCAGGTACAGTGGTCAGGCGGCAAACAGGACCACGGGCAGCAGGGGGTCCAGTCAGTCCTAAGTGGGAAACAGAAAGATGAACCAAGGCTCCAGACGCCGGGATTTCCTTCCTCTGTCCCCAGGGCCGACCACAGGCTCCTCCGAGAATCCATGGGGTCCCTTAGTGAAAAGGGAAGGGTGGGTCCCTGCAGATCTGCCGAGAGGATGTGGGGAGGGAGCTGGTCATCTCCCACCAGTCACCTATTTCTCTTTGTTTTCAGGGCAGTTTCTTGAAGAACTAAGTAAGTTCTCTCCTCCTTATAAACTAAAAATAAAACCAGAACAGTAGTGAGAAAAAGGAGTCACTAAGGGACGGAGATCCCAGAGGGAGGGGCTGGGCTGCATCCGTGGTGGTGGTGGGGGGCTTCTGTGAGGTAGGAGCCCTCTTGCCAGCCTTATAGGTTACAGGGAAGGAACCTGGGGGCACTGCCACCTGCTGCCTGATTGGCTCTTTTAGTACCCCCGGGGCAGAAACCCCACTCCTTTCCCATTCCCTAGGGAAGCTGCCCTGTGCCTCCACCCAAGATCCTCCATGTAGACAGGCGGACAGGGTGACCCCAGAGGGCTTTTCCTGTCCCTGGTTTAATGGCTCCATGACGGAAACTGCTGACAAACGTTTCAAGCTATTCTCTCCTCCTAGGGAACCCCTTCTGAGCGAGGCTGCACCCTGGCGGAGCGGGGAGAGCCTGGAGTCCTGTCCTTGCGGACGCTGTGCCCGTCAGGTCGCAGGCTCACTGGCCTCTGCTGCGGGACCTTCTAATTTGCCTTCCAGCAATGCTCTAAACTCCAAATGGGAACATTGCTTCTTTTAAAAGAACAAAAAACATTTTTAGAGGAAGGGAGAAACATCGATTGGTTTTTCTTATCTGCGTATCTATTGGTTTCTCTTCTGTCGTCTACCTTTTCCCAGTCGCTGTCTTTTCCCATGTTTGCTCCCTACACCCTTTCAACGTCTGTCGTCCACTGGAGGTCAGGCAGGTGCTCTTCCTCAGAGGACAGCTGTGCTGGAGGCTTGCGCGGGGGTCTCTGTCCGTGCAAACCGCAGCGTGGCAGCTCTGCACATGGGAGTTCCGCCCAAGTCCTCGGTCACCATGGGCTAAAGGGAAGGAACATGAGTCCAAAACATCACAGAGCAGAGTGAGCTGCAGAATGAGGACGTGGGGAGAGACCCTCGGATTCTGGCCTGAGCTCCACCTTGCCCAGCAGCCTGCCAAGGAGACGGAGACAAAGGATGCAGAGTGGCCCCTCGCGTGCTTCAGGAGGCCGCCCGTTCACTTCCCGGACATGTCCAGATGGTCCCTCAGAGTTGCCCCCCCCATCTCCATGCCCATTGGAGCACTGCTGCTTCCTGCAGCGCTTCCTGCTTGATGGTGGGTAAGACAGAGACAAGCCAGGTGCTAACTGATAATGCAAGTTTCTGTGTGCCCCTTCTTGTCCCTTTTCCTTTCTGGACTCCTTCACTGTCCCTCACCTCGCCTCCTCTACCCCAGCCTCCTCACCCTGGAGGTCAGTCCTCAGGAACACCCAACACAAAGAAAGGCCTTAGTCACAACGGCCATTTATTTATGTTCCAAGACCCTCACCGCCTCATCTGCTTCTCCTCTGCATCCCTTCGCCCTGCCCCCCTCCCCCGCCCTGGGTGTGTGGCTCCTCGGAGACCCACTCCCTTCCCTGCTGTAGGGGAGGCACTGGGAGAGGCCAAGCCACTGGCCCAGGATAGTCCAGCATTTGTGGGGACTGCCCAGGCACAGCCCCTTGCCTCTGTAGCTCCCCCAGTGACCCACGAGGTCCTCCCTCTCCCTAAAGCAGACGTCGCAGACAGGGCAGCGGTAGACCTTGTGCTTCCAGTGCGTCCGCTGGTGCCCGAGCAGCCCCGGGAGCGAGGCGAAGGCCTTGCCGCAGCAGCAGCAGCAGTTCGACTGCTCTGCGAGGTGGGCCTCCTGGTGCCTGGAGAGATGGGCCTTCTTACCAAAAGTCAAGGGGCAGGAAGGGCAAGAGAAGACCTTGAATCTTGGAAGCTTAGGTAAGTGAGACTTGGCCCTGCTACTCAAGCAGCGGGCTCTAGGGCTGGCTGCCTGTGTGCTGGGCCCGGGCCCTGGGGTCGTGGTGGCCGGGGTGTGAGCTCTCCCCGTGACCGCCTGGCTCCCAGCTGCAGCTCCCCGCTTCCTGTCTATAGATGGCTCGGTGTGAGCTACAGAACCCTTGGTTCTAAATATGGGTTCTTGGGTCCTGGCCACTGGCGTGTGGTTCCCAGCTGCAAGCCCCTGGCCCCTGACCATGGGTTCCGGGAGCCCAGCCACTGGCGCCTGGTTTGGGTGTATCTTCTGGTGGCGTTTGAGTTCAGACTGGTCCCGGAAGCCCTTCCCGCAGAAGGGGCATGAGTGGGGCCGGTAACCCAGATGGACACGGCGGTGACGGCTCAGGCCAGACGCATCACAGTAGGTCTTGTCACAAAGTGAGCAACAGAAGGGCCTCTCCCCGAGATGTACGCGTCTGTGGTAGCTGAGCGCCTTGGGGTTCCGGAATGACTTCCCACACTTGCTGCAGTTGTTCGTCCCCTTGAGATTGTGGACAAACTGGTGATAGCGAAGGTTGGAGCGCTTGCTGAAGCACCTGCCACAGACGTGGCAGGGAAAGGGAGGCCCCGCCCAGGACGCTGGGAACCCGGGGGTCCTGCCCTCAGACCCTCTGCATCCGGCTTCATCTCTCAAGCTCGGACTGTGCTCTCGAAGTCCCTCCTTGCCTCCTGTAGGGAACGAGGAAGAACAGCACACTGGGGTCACCCTGAGCCCCAGGTGCCTGCAGCACGAGCTCCTTCCCTTCCCGCCCAGCTCGCTCAGCCTCGCCTCGGACCTCATGGGGCTAGACTTCAGGGTGCTTTATTGTTCTTTTCAAATTAAAAGCAAATAAAAATTTAACTGGACTCTTTCAACAACACCAGATTAAAATGTTAACTTATAACAGTTTTGAAATCCACGTCCTCTCATTTTCACATCATGGAAACTGGGACAGAGTGAGAGGGGGCGGGGCTGGAAATCAGAGGGAGTGAGCAGGTGGGAACCCGGGCCCCCACCTGCAGTTCCTCTCCAGTCCTCCAGAGTCGAGAAGTCTCCCTTCCCCAGCTCGGCACCAAGCTCACCCCCTTCATTTCTACCGGAAAGGACTTTCATCAAGGGGGTATCACTGCCATGCAGCCTCCCAGCCCTAGGAACGGGAGACAGTCACACATCCCGAGTGGCTTAGACTTTCATCACCTTGAAGCTGAGGGACTCTGAGCAGATCTCGTACCTGAAGGGAGGCCTTCTCCATTTGGGGGACAGAGGTCTGCTCTCCACTGTTTCTCTTCTTGTTCAAGCTTGGTGATCAGATCTGGATTAGACAGAAAGATTCTGGCTGGAAAGTGGGAAGGAGAGAAGGAACTGAGATCTCAGGCTTGGCTCCTTCACAAGTTTAAGAACCAGAATCTGGGACAACAGATGCAGGGGGAGACACTCACAAGGCCAGCCCCTGGCTGAGCACCCAGTCACAGCAGAAGGACTCAGTAAGGACTGGTTGGATGAACAAGTCAATGTGCACACTTTGGGAACACTGCCATTTGTCATTAGTGTTATCTTTGCCTTCTTGCAGGCTTCCTTTTTTTTTTTTATCCTCACCCGAGGACATTTTTCCATTTTTTGTACAGATAGAGTGGGAGGGAGAGAGAGGAAGAGAGAGAGAGGGGAAACATCGATGTGAAAGGGACACATCAAGTGGCTGCCACCCGCACGACCAACCAGGGCCGGGGAAAAACTGCAACCGAGGTACATGCCCTTAGCGGGAACCGAACCCGGGTCTCTCCGGACCGCAGGCGGACACTCTAACTGCCGAGCCAAACCGGCCAGGGCACAGGCTTCCTTTTTTTTTTTTAATCCTCACCCGAGGATATTTTTCCATTGATTTTCAGATAGAGTGAGAGAGAGGAAGAGAGAGACACACCTATTGGTTGCCTCCTGCACAACCCCGACCAGGGCTAGGGACCAAACCGGGACCAAACCTCAACCAAGGTACATGCCCTTGACCGGAATCGAACCCGAGATCCTTCAGTCTGCAGGCCGAAGTGCTAACCGCTGAGCCAAACCAGCCAGGGCAGGCTTCCATTTCTTTTCCCTTGACCCTGAGTTTAGTGACCCAGATCTTTCACATCTGAGAACCAAGGGTCACTAAAGCAACTCCTGAGCTGACCGACCTGCCCAGGGAAACCAAATGTCACAGGGTCTTGGGACGGGGGCTAGCTGAGGGAAGCCCAGCTTCTTACCCACAGACACCAGGTTTCTGAAGGTCTCCGACATAACATCCTGGTAGAGGACCCTCTGATGGGCATCTAAACAGTCCCACTCTTCCTGGGTGAAATTCACTGCCACATCCTCGAAGGTGACTGGCTTCTGGAAGAGCAGGAGAGGTTCAGGGAGTCTGTACACACAGACAGACATCTGGTCTCAAGGTTCAGAAACTAAGAGAAAAATAAAACCGTGGAAGTAGGGGGAAAACAGGCACATAGCCAGCAACTGTGATGTATAGAAAAGGAAGGAAGGATGGAGAGGAGGGAAGAAAACTATAGGAGAAAAGGAAAGGGTTTATACTAAAAGTAAATAGGAAGGGAAGCAAAGGAAAAATGGCTGCCACTCTGACCAATTTCAGGAAGTGCTCCCTGAAGGGTGCCCGCTGATGTGGGACTGAGAGGCCTCGCGGGCCCTGTCCGGCTGTTGCTCAGCTTGAAACAGCCTGAGATTCCATTCGACCTGGAGACGGGGCAATGGGGGGACGAGCTGCTGGAGTCCAGGACCTGGCCCTGTCTACAGGGCGGTCTGCTCACCTGCGCCCAGGCCTTCCACGGGCACTCTATCTTCACAGCTGCCTGCAGGGCCTCCTGGTCGTCGGCTCCGGTGCTGGTGCTGGTGCCGGTGCCGGGCAGCAGGGTCTGCACTTCCATGGTATCTCTTTCTCGCTTTATCTGCTCCCGGACTTGCCCCTGGGCTTTCTGCTGTCCTGAAGCAGCAGACAGCCAATGGAGAGCTTCACAAAGGCCCCGGGGTTTGGTGTGGCTTTCTATGACCACGTGCTCCCAGGGGCTGCCTTCCTTTGGGTGCCCCCAAGCCTAGGCTACAGAGTGCAGGGACCTGGTCACCCCTGGCTCCGTTGCCACCGTCCAGTAATGCCAGGATGGGACTAGGAAGGCGTTGGCCTGTGTTTCTCCCCACTTCTAACCACTGGCTGGGCTCCTGCCCACCTCTGGGAGCCTAAGGGCAGAGAAAAAACCAACACGTCAGCAAGACCGACACAGCACGTGAGCAAGACAGACACAGAGCACGTGAGCAAGGGGGTGGGGAGGAACGCCAGCTTCCTCACTAGGTCAAAAGCTATCAGCTCCTGCTCTGTGCCAGGGACCCTCTCAGCGCTAACCGAAAGGGCAGAGATGCTAAGTTCATCGAGGACACTCGGGGCCACAGCAGAACCGAGGACGTGATGCTGCTGTCCCAAAGCACGGCCCAGGGCAGCAGGTGCCGCGGGGACAAGCCCTGGGCCAGCACTTCTCTTCATCCTGATCTGGCTTCATTGGAAATGAAATAAGATCCCATTTAGGAGCAAAAATTATGACTCTGGATTTTTAATACATACAGATCTTTGTAAAGAATAACAGCAATGCCCGGCCAGAGTGGCTCAGTCGGATCGACTCCGGGTCAGGGCATATACCCGGGTTTCACCTGCGATCCCCAGGCCGGGCACACAGGGAAAGCAGCCGGCCCATGTCTCTGTCTCCTTCCTCTCTAAGCATGTTTTCCCGTGAGGACTTAAAAAGAACAATAGTGGTAACAGCCCAACATTGAGCACTTACTCCGGGCTCAGGCTGAGCCCAGCACAGGTTGCCTGCCGATACTCCTGCTGACACCAATCCGGCCCCACGCCCTCTGCCTGCTGACAGCACTCACTCCACTTCTCCCTCCTGAGATTGCATGAAAAGAATAAAGACGTAAACATCCGTTGACGTTTTTCTTGCACTCTTTTGGACAGGGGGTGGAATTGAAAATACCAGCAAGGGAAAGGGCACTTGACAGTGGAGTTAACTGGACATTAAGAAGAAAGTTGATAGGAAAGGTGCATTTCTGGGATCTGAACTTGAGTCCCTCTGTCCCTTCCTTTCCTTCAAGACTATCCACAATCATTCTGTGAGGTGTGCACGTCTGGATTGTTCTCCTACTCCAGCGATTTTCACCCGGTTTGCAAGAACTTTTAAGACATGCAGTATCTGACTATTTAGTCAGGGGCACTGACCACTTTTCCCTTAAATTGTCCAATTAAAAAAACTGACAACAGCCAACACAACACTGGCCAACACAACACTATACCTATTTTTGGTCTGAAAGGCAAAACACATGTTTTGGTGTGACCCGGAATTTCAGTAATTAGTTCGTGCTGCCATGAGATGAAGAGTCGCCGTCCTGCTCTCCCAAGGAACACAGTCATGTAGCATTTCCGAACAGTGTGGGGCCTGTGCGCAAGGCCCTGGCTGCCCCCAGCGCACCTCTGCCTCGCACCCGGTCGCCAGAGCGCGCGGACCGGCCAGTGCAGGCAGAGGGGCCAACTCCGGAGCCTGTGGCGGCCTGTCCTGCCCTTCCAGAATGGCAGTCCCCGCGGGAGTGTGTCACCATTTTCCAGTCCTGAGTCCCCCCAGTCTCTCTCTAACCCCAAATCGGTCAACGGTTCCTCATGGCACGTGGGATCGGCCCTCCTGCGTCCACCCAGGGCTCCAACCCGAGTTCCTGTCGTTCAGCGGAACTCAGCCCTCGGGCCTCTTCTCAATCCAGCCCCTCTCAGCCCTGCCGCCCAGTTCCTGGCCCCCGCGGGGTGCCAGCCCGCCCAGCCCTTGCGCCCCCAGTTTCCTGCGCGCCCGGCCCGGCTCCCTGCGCGTCGGGCCCGCGCTCCCTCAGCCGCCGGCTCCCCGCACCCCGCCCGGACCTCCCGCGGCAGGTCGTCTGAACACCCACAGGGTGGGACTTCTGCGCTCAAGTCGACCGTCTGCCCCGAAACTTTCCTTCTGGGACCCCGACTTTCCGAACGCGTGCCAGGACCGGTCCTCGACGCCTGGTCGCACCGCGGCCGCGTGCAGGGCCACACCGCGCGGAAGCTGCTTCTAGACCAGAGGCGCACCGCTCCCCTCGCCGGCCGAGCTCAGGGGAGCAGGCGTGCGGGACAGACACCCCTACATTGGCCTAGACCACGGCGAGCCCAACGCCCCTCTGCCTACTCACCCGCCGAAAAGAACCCACCCGGGGCCAGAGGAGAGCAGACCCGCCAGCGCGCTCCGTCCCGGGCGGCCGGCGAGCGTCCGCGCGGCGCCGAGACCCAGCGGAGGCTGCGGGCCCGCAGGCGTGTTCGCAGGTCCAGGAGTCCTGAACGCAGACTGCCCCGCCCCTAGCCCACCCCTCCTACCAGTCGTAACCGCGGGTGCCACCTAGCGCTAGGATCTTTCCTTATTCCCAACCTTACTTGGAAAAAGGATTAAATTTTACATTAAAACCTCTGCTTTAAGCAACCATCAACCACCATCACCTAGAGCCCACAGGACAAAAATGAGACTCTCACAGGCCCCCAGAAGAGACGTGGAGGCACAGACCATCTTAGAAAAGCAAGGGCCACGGGCAGCATACACAATGGTGACTTACAAGACTGTTCTGGTAGCCCTGGTCGGTTATGCTCAGTGGTTAGAGTGTTGACCTGAGGTCCAGAGAGACCCGGGTTCGGTTCCCGCTAAGGGCACGAACCTCGGTTGCAGTTTGTCCCCGGCCCTGGTTGGGTCATGTGGGTGGCAGCCACTTGACGTGTCCCTTTCACGTTGTTTCTTTCTCTCTCTCTCTTCCTCTTTCTCCCTCCCACTCTATCTGAACAAAAAATAGAAAAAAAAAATCTGGTGAGGATGAAAATAAAATTTCTCTGGTAAACAGTTTGCTCTGTTCGAGGGGCGGGCCACGGGGGAGGGGCGCTGCACAGAGGATGCTGGCACGCGGGGATTTAGGGGGCCTGGGAACTCCAATCCAGCCTCAGGAGGCGGGCTGAGGGCTGCAGTATCTCCAGGCTTTCTGACAGGGGTCCTTTCCTCCCCCCTCCCCCACCCCCCATACAGTAGAGTCAGGGAGCTCCAGGGAGTCTCCTGCACTGGCTAAGATGCTACATAGGGAAGTTCTTTTTTTTTTCTTTTTTATCCTCACCTGAGGACATTTTTCCATTTTTTGTTCAGATAGAGTGGGAGGGAGAGAGAGGCAGAGAGAGAGAGAGAAACATTGACGTGAAAAGGACACATCAAGTGGCTGCCACTCACACGACCAACCAGGGCCAGAGACAAACTGCAGCTAAGGTATGTGCCCTTAGCGGGAATCAAACCCAGGTCTCTCTGGACCGCAGGCCGATGCTCTAAGCGCTGAACCAAACCGGCCAGGGCTACATAGAGAAGTTCTTACACTGAGCTACCAAAAGCTAGAAAGTTAAATGGATAGGGCCTGAGCAGGCCAAAAGCTGGCAAGATAATTGGAGAGAAAAAAGAAAGAAAGAAAAAAGCCCTCCTCTCTGTATCCTGTAAGAACCCCGGCCCGGGCAAGAAAAGGAAATGGTCTTTGAGTTGAGAGTTCACCATTCTCCAAGGTGTCAGCACCTGAATAAACCTCTTTCCTTTTGCACCAGCACCTGTCTTGTGAATTTGGCTTTTGCTTCAGCAGGCAGCTGAACTTGCCTTTACTTTACATGATGAGAGATGACAGAGGTAGGGGAGTAGTGAGAACAAAGCCCAGGTAAAATTCTACTTACCTCAGTCACTTAGCTGAACTAAAATCAACGTTTCTCAGCAACATCTTTTTGTTTTACTTATTTATTTTTAAATTCTCACCTAGGAACATGTTTCTATTAATTAAAAAAAAAATAGGGTAGGGAAAGGGGGAGAAACATCCATGTGAAACAGAAACATCCATCAGTTGTCTCCTGTACATGTCTGGACAGGGATCCAACTGCAACCTAGGTGTGTGTCCTGACTGGGAAATGAACTTGCAACTTTTTTTTTGGTACATGGGAGGATGCTCTAACCAACTGAGCCACCTGGCCAGGGCATCTTTTTGATTTTTTCAATCAGTTCAATGGAACTATTTCACACTGGCATGGGGTTTTACAATTTACAAAACACTTTTGTAAATAGAGCCTCCATTAAATCCTTACAAACACCATGGGATGTAGAAATTGTTATTCTGTCTTTATGTTACCAATGAGTTTGGGTTCTTATCTCTTGATATAAAATAATTTAGACCAGGGACACTGATTAAAAGCAAAGGCAGATTTATTGAGGCTCTGCAGAGGCTGAGGACACTGAGATAGGGCCTCAGGTTCTGCGCCCCAGATGTAGAGCTCAGGGTTTTTTCTGGCTTGAGGACATGGAATTTGCTGGGGTTAATCAATCAGAGAGCAGGTTAGCAGGCTCTTTCTTTTTTCAAACACTGACTTTCAGGTATGTATCAGCAAAGTAAACCATTCTGGGATTATGCAGCACTTATTATGGGATGCAGGAAGGGACTTTTCCAACCAGGTATTGAGTTTGTCTCTGGGGTTTGGGCTTAGCTTTAGATCTGAAAAACAAACTTAAAAGAAGTCAGGGTAGTTCCTGGACCATTGTTTTGTAGCCACCTATTGATAACTGCCATAGTTCTGGCAGGGCTTAGCTTGATGGAGCAATTTGTTCTGGTCCGGCTTGATTCGACAAAGCAATTTTTGGGAACACTGTATTCCACGTTTTACTTAAAGGTGAGGAAACAGGCCTAGAGATGGTGAGCCTTGCCAAAGCCCATATACTGCTATTCCAGGATCTGAGCCAGACCCTCTGCTTTCAAGTCACCACACTGGTATCTGGGCTTCATGGTTAGTACTGGACGGCTGGCAAATGCAGGTTTTAAATCT